CTTTTTATGCCTTTTTTGTTGCCTGTGGCATCCCTTTAAACAGGAAGAAAGAGTCAATTCATATTTGAAATTTATCTCTCTAAATTTTAAAGTCTCTAAATAGTTACACATAAAAATAAATGATTTAGATCAAAATTTCTTCAATATTCTTACAATAATTATTGAAAAGATTCAAGAATAACCAATTTTAACATTAATATTTTTAATGATCTCTGAAAGATAATAATATGCTGACGCAGTGATAATCTGCAACGGCTTCTGCTGTGATGGAGCTACCGGGATTGAAGTTGTATCAGATTTCCTATTTCACATTATTCTGTATAAAATTTTAACTATTCTGGGGTTCATTCGCACCTTGAAACAATAAGAAAGTGGTAAAAAAATTACGATGAAAATTTGTAGTTTATTAAATGAAGCTTATGATATCGGAATATTTTAATAAATACATTAAGATCCGATACCAATGGAATTGAAATTATAATTTTAAAGTTAAAGCTAAGACTAAGAAATTTTTTAAACTGTTTTAATACAAAATTGAAACCGTTTTTTACAGTGGCACTCTAACTATGGCTTACTGACTAAAATTGTAGGCGTTTCTTTTGTTATGCAAGCCTTCGAATTGGATATACCATGAAAAGTAACGCCTACTTTCTAGGTGCGAACCGTATTTACGAAAAGGATATAAAGTAAATAAAAATTTATTTTCCTAACCAAACATCTAATATTCTATAATTTGCAAAAATTTTTAACAACTGAGATAATTTCAGAAAAGTGTTTAAATTTTTGTGACTTTAGTCAAGTTCACTATTACGAAGCTTTGTATTATGAACGGTTCAACAAAATAAAAATATTTTAGTAAACTGCTGAGTGTTCACCCCCAAGTAGTTAACCAGGCGGAAATATTCATTTTCCAGGTCTAAATGTCTAATAGCTATTTGTAAAAGGGGGGAAAGACTTGTAGTAAAACTCTTTCAATTATAGCTTTTATCCGGAAACAGTAAAATAAGTTCTTACTATTATTATCTTATTTGTACATTATTTATCACTAATTACTAAATAACACATAATTTTTTTTTTTAAATATGTATGTTACAAATGTTAAATAAATATTGGAAGTTGGTATAATTTTCCCGAAAACAAACCATTTTTGTCCCAGTTTTTGTTGTTTTCCACCTTGATCAGAGTGTCCGTCCACCGTCTCGAACTAAATCCTCTTTTAATGGAGTTTAAATTTACCACTTTCTCTCACTAAAATTTAGATTATTTAAAATTGGTAAGTAAGCTTAAGAAAACTTTTTAAATTATAGAAAATGTTCCCTTACATAATTTTCTCTTTCATAAGATAACAAAAATAGATAATTAAAATGCATTTAATTTCTCTCCTCACTTTATTACATACCACTGGGTTATAATTAAAGCAGCGTTTAATTTCTCTCCTAAATTTATTACCTATCATTGGGGTGATGATTTTATCTTTATTAAGATAACAATAATAGATACATAAAAAGTATTCAATTTCTCTCCCCAGTTTATNTCCCCCCCCCCCCAGTTTATTACCTACCAGTAAAGTAATAATTTTATCTTTGATAAGATAACAATAACAGATAATTAAACTGTTTCATCTCCCTCCTCGCTTTATTACCTACCAGTTGGGTATTAATTTCATCTTAGATAGGATTACAGTAATAGATAATTAAAATTTTTCATTTCCCTCCTCACATTCTTACCTATCAGTGGGGTAATAATTTCATCTTAGATAGGATAACAATAATAGATAATTAAAATGTTTCATCTCCCTCTCCACTTTCTTACCTATCAGTGGGGTAATAATTTCATCTTTGATAAGATAACAATAATAGATAATTTAAATGTTTCATTTTCCTCCTCACTTTACCTACCAGTGGGGGTAATAATTTTATCTTTAATAGAATAATAATAGATAGTTAAAAATGTATATTATTTCTCTCCTCTCTTTAATATCTACCAATGGGGTAATTACGCAACTTGGAGATGAAAAAAAACGAAAGAAAGAAAATCGCTAGTTTTTGTAAGATCTAGATATAGTTTTTTTTGTTCGTTCGAGCGAAACAAGCTTTAAAATAAAAGACATAAATAAAATTAATTTAGTGAATGGATTTTCACAAGAATCAAGAAACTGAAATTTTTTTTTAAAAATTTTACTTTATATTTTTGTTTTATTCTTCGTAATTCAGAAAATAAATTTGGCACATGATACAAGCTATATTCAAATTCATTTTTATTTGGTTGAGTTTGCCATATAAACTTATGTTTCCAACTGAATATGATTTTCCATTGATCTTCAAAGCATGTAGAAAAATATTATGACTCATTAATTCATAATGTTTTATTAATTACAATTCATAAATCAAGTAATAATTTAATTGCGATTGATCACTGAAATTATAAATTATAGATTAAATAATGACCACTTAGTAGGCTAATACACATCGATAAAATAACAATTAACTAACTACATAGTATAATATGCCATCGTCGGTCTCTGTTATTCACTAGTAACAGTAACAGTGATCGAAAATAACAATTGTGTCTAACTCTGGTTAAAATTTGATAGCCAAAAATGTTCCTTCTTAAAATTTAATTTAGAAAAACATGAAAATCGCGTCTGCGCAAAAATAATTTCTGACTTATTTTAATTTGAAATTATAAGTATGCAAATTGCTATTAGTCTTGGGAAGTAGAAAGTTTTGAACCAAAACTTCAATTTGAAAGTCCGAAATGAAGCAGCCCTCTTTAAATTTTTAAATTATTAAAGTCAAAAATGAATGGAGTAGGAGTGGTATCTACCTCATTGAAAATGTTTAGTAAAATGTTTCCCAGCGTCAATTATTATTTAATAAGTTTAATATTTATAGCCTATTTAGTTTTACAAATTAATAAGCAGGCTCTGGTGACAACAACACAAATATTTTTTTAAGTCTTTCGCAAGTGGAAAACAGTTGACAAAATTTAGAGGATAACAGCACAAAGTTGTCGCCAGTGTTGTGAACCCGCTACGTTGAAGCTACGAGATTGCAAGGCCTTATAGCATTTAAAACTTTATAATTTTTATTAGCACGTCCTAGAAAACATTTAACCCCTTAATGATCGGTTAATTTTCAAGAAAACGGTCATAAAAGTGCCTATTTTGCCAAATACACGTATTTGATTAGTGCTGAAATCTAGTTTAAAATAAACTAACTATCTACAATTACCTTAAAAATATCCTGATACTGCCATCTGGTATGTAAAATGAGAAATAAAATGTTTTCCGGGCAAAAGAAATTAATTAGTTTTATAATTATTAGTTGCTTTACTACTGAACACTCCAGCCAGGGGTGAAAGCGAGACGGAAAAAGAGAAAAGGCTGGTAGTAAAACCATTTCAGTTATTGCTAGTTTTCGGGAGGAGTTTACTTATTCTTTTTTTAAACTATTCAACAATATCTATTTTATCTTGGAAAAAAAGCGGATTTATATATATGTTAAAATCTTAAAGAAATCTTGATAGTTACAGATATTTTATTTTTCTCGGAAAAAAATGCTGTAATAAAATATCTTTCGCACCAGTTTTTCATCTTTTCTGTCTTGCTATATAAGGGCTTTCAGCCATGACTCCAGCCATCACCTCCTACATCAAGAAGCCTCCACACAGTCTTTTATAAGTAGTCCGCGCAGACTGCTTAAAAAGTTAACTAGTTGTGCTCATGAACCCAAAACCTTTTCGCTAATAATAATAAAAGTAATAAAAGTTAATAATAATAAAAGTAATTGAGAGAAATTTATCATCTATATTTGAGAATTGAATCTGTAGNCTTAAGAATCTACCCCTTTGGCCTGCACTTTTATAAGTAATAGTGGACAAGTTACGCTAAAATTAATTTTTTTAAAATATTAAGACATTAATTTTACAACCGTCTGAAAAGAAGATTTCTGAAACTACGGAAATTCCGTAGCAGTTGGAGGGTATGCTCCAGCCATCACCTCCTACATCAAGAAGCCTCCACACGGTCTTTTATAAGTAGTCCGCGCAGACTGTTTAAAAAGTGAACCAGTTGTGCGCATGAACCCAAAACCTTTTATAAAAGTAATTGAGAGAAATTTATCTTATATATTTGAGAATTGAATCTGTAGTGGTTGACAAGTGAATAAGGCAAACCAATAATATTCATAAATAAAATAAATTTTTAGTCATATATTTGCTACCACTTTCTTATTTTCATTATATTCTGTATTAAATGACTCGTTCGGTAAGTGGATATCCTTCACAGTGGTCTGATCGGACTACCTATAAAAAACCGTGTGGAGGCTTTCAGTTATAGGAGGCGTTGCTCCAGCCCGGAAATTTCATGGGAGAAAGAAATAGAGGGCGAAACCTCACCCCGTTATTTTCACGGGAGCGAGAAGGAAGGGGGTAAAGTTTAATGTAACATTTGAAAAGCTTGAATTTATTTCTGGTTAAAATAGTAACATAAAAAGTATTTATGTCGTGCTGAAATATTAATAATTTAATGATATTGCTCAACTAATGCTCAAAAATAATGCAATATTACTTAGAATTTATTTTATTAATTTAAAATGCTAGGTAATATCATGATAATTTCAGTTGGATAGAAAAAAATTTTGCACCAGTTTTTTTTTATTTCCAGGGTAAGCTGAATTTGTTGCGCTGAGTACTAGGACAAGTATGTCGTGCTTTTCCAAGATGAAAAAATAAAAATGAAGTAATTGAGCTACTAGTTTATGTGTATTTTGGGAAAGTAGCAACTTTTCTAACCAAGCGGTAAGCAATTGTAAATTTTGTTATTAGATATATTTTGGGACAATTTGAAAATAATTTATTCTCCACTGCGAAATTTTTAGTATGAAGTTTTTTATTCTTGCTCATGATTACTTGTTTTTATCAATAACACTTATACACTGTAGGACCGTTAGATTAAATATTGCTGATAATCTTTATAGATAATGATTGTATTCAATTGTAAAAAAAAAATCCTTTTTCTTTTCAAGTTAGATAACATTCAGTTGATATTTACGAGTTTTGTCAAAGTTTAACAGCATTTAAGGATTTGTTTAAACATATAAAAATAATTAATTGTTTTTCTCTAATATCAGAGTAAAATGTTTTACAACTTTGCATACATATTTATGGTATCCATTTACTTACAATCTTTCGTAGTTACTGATGCTTCCATAAATATTTTAAAACCACAGAACAATGAAGTTTTATTTAAATTAACGAATGCAAAAGCAGATGAAATTAATGTTGAAGCTGAAAATAATTTGAATCAACAAGCAACAGGTAAGAATATTTGAAAAAGTTTTTTAAATCAATACTGAAATGTGAATTAGATTATGTGACTGTTTATTGAAAGGGATTTTCGATTAAAATGTACTAAATGAATCGCACCAAAGAATAAAAAAGACTTTCATTTTTCAATGTAATTGTAATGCATTTATAATGTTATTCTTAGAATTTACTTAGATGAAACCAATAGATTATGCAAGTAATATAAATATTCATATAATTACTTGAAACAAGTCGTCTGCATTTTTCGATTGTTCAATTACCGTTTTTCACATTTTCTCTAAGACTGTTGGTAGCAGCAGCAATACATAAATTAATTTTACATAAAAGTACATAATTAGATAATTAAGGTAAGGTTTAAGGTACTTGCAGGGTTGGCAATTTTCTATGCTATATAAGAAAATTACTTTCTGTGATATTTATGTTATGCTTTAATGTATGATTCTTTGTTTTGTAAAATTGATTTAAAATTATTTTCTACACCACTACATCTTAGTGATTCAAAAGTTCGTATGAAACGCCATTTTGTTCCAGTTCTCTCCAGGTGAAGCTTTTAAATTGTTTCCAAAATTACCCAAAATTATGAAATGTTTGTTTTTAAGCGTATACCACACTATAAAAGTATATATCTATAAAAGTATCTACTTTTATATAGAGTGTATACCACTCCATACCTGCCAACTTTTAATCCCTTCCATTATCATTTTTCCCAGTGGTATTAAAATGGAATTAAAACTTCCATTTTAAGCAAACAAATACGCTGTATTTGAGAAAACTTAAGTTGAAAACCATGATAGTAACGCATATTAATATTTGTGCTTAAATTTTGTAAGAATAGCGGTGATCAGAATCATTTGAAAATTAAGTTTATAAAAGAAAGAATAGTATATATTTACTACCACTTTAAATATGAAAATAAAATCTTCCGGAAAATCCGGAAGAGTTGGCAGGTATGCCACTCTATATTTGGGAAATGCGTAGTTGTTGACAGTCCTGCATTTACGTTTTTGCTCTCTGAACATTTTAAAATCCCACTTAGATTACTGTAAGCACCAAATTATTAAATAAATAATCCTTATCGAAGTTTATCTGTGCTCCTGAGGTCGTTTGCAGCCCTTTTCCCATCAATCTTGAAATTTTAACTTTTAGGTGGCTCTTTCCGCTAACTGAATTGCTAATAGGAGTGAAAAGAAAATTAAATTCTATGCATTTTAGATATAGATGCATCGCTACAAAAACAAGCTGTAATTGGACTGAGGTTTATGTCTTCTCCAAGTGTTCAAAAGTAAAAATTTCATCAAATCCCAATTTATGGCCTTTTTAAAAAATTAGCTTTGCATTATAGTGGTCTAAAAAGTCTTATCTCTGGTCAAAGGTCTTACTGTATTATTTTTTGGAGTATATTATTCTGGCATCTTTTGAGTTTGTCTTGTTTCTACAAATAAAATTCTAATAATGAAACACTTCTGCTACCATTTGCATAGCTGCCAACTTTCAATCCCTTCCATTATGATTTTTCCCAGTGGTATTAAAATGGAATTAAAATTTCAATTTTAAGCACAAAAAAAAAAATACCTTGAAATAGATTAAGCTGACAACCATCATCATCGAAATATATCTGGGCGCCAGGGGCCGTTAGCGGCCTTTTTCCCATTCGTCTTGTATTGTGGTCTTTAAGGTGGTTCTTTCTGGTAATTGGAATAAAAGGAAATTAAATATTTTGTATTTTAGTTAAAATTACGTCACTTCAAAAATGAGCTGCCATCGGCTGACGACCATGATTGTAACACATATTAATATCCATGTTAATTTTTTTAAGAATAGTGGTGATCAAAATCATTTATAAATTGAGTTAATAAAAGAAAAAAATAATATTTATTTACCACCACTTTAAATATAAAAGTAAATTTTTACGCCAAATGCGTAAAAGTTGGCAGGTATGCATTTGGGCTTCAGAGCAATAGCTTATATATGTCATTATTTCAAGATTGATTAATTTTATTGTTTATTTAATGTGAACGATATACAATTGAAGAGCTTAGTGTATTAAGCGAGTCGCAATTTCAGGAACTTACAGGGAAAATAACATAAACTGGATCTATCATTTTGTTTCCAGTTTAATCTAAACATAACTAATTTACATCAGTTATGAGCATGCATGCATGATTTTCTTTCTTCAAATTATCTAGAAGTAAATAAAAAAAGCCGAAGAACTTTTTGTCCCGCCTTCTAATAAATCTTCAGCAAAATAGTTCCGTTACATTAAAAAAAAAAAAAAAAATCGAACTTATATTTGTTTTTATTCTTTAGTTTCTTTGCTATTTGTGTTACTTTTTATGGCACTAATTCCTGTGAAACTGGTATAGTATCGAGTTGCTAAAATAAAAGTCAATTTTGATGGATATGTTGTTAGTAACACGTTGAATGCCACGCTAATTTTACATGGCTTGCTCGTCTGGCCAAATGGTAACTACACACTGAATTTGCAAATATTAGACAAGCTTTGCCACCTCCTACATCAAGTAGCCTCCACACGGTCTTTTATAAGTAGTCCGCGCAGACTGTTTAAAAAGTTAACCAGTTGTGCGCATGAACCCAAAACCTTTTATAAAGTAATTGAGAGAAATTCATGTTATATATTTGAGAATTGAATCTGTAGTGGTTGACAAGTGAATAAGGCAAATCAATAATATTCATAAATAAAAAATTTTTTAGCCATATATTTGCTACCACTTTCTTATTTCAACTATATTCTGTTTTTAAATGACTCGTTCTGTAAGTGGATNCTGTCAAGAGTTGTGCGCATGAACCCAAAACCTTTTATAAAAGTAATTGAGAGAAATTCATGTTATATATTTGAGAATTGAATCTGTAGTGGTTGACAAGTGAATAAGGTAAATCAATAATATTAATAAATAAAATAAATCTTTAGTCATATATTTGCTACCACTTTCTTATTTCAACTATATTCTGTATTAAATGACTCGTTCTGTAAGTGGATATCATTCACAATGGTCTGATCAGACTGCCTATAAAAAACCGTGTGGAGGCTTTGCTAGTTTTTTAAAAGGTTTAGCACGACATATCTGGAAAAAGTGGTGAATCATATAAACCTACAAATTGCTTAGAAATAGTGAAGGATAAAAATCGACTAAATTGAATTTATTAAACCGGGAATCACAATTAATAAACTACCATTTGAAAATATTTATTCGCTGTCCGGAGCAAGTTGGCATCTTTGTGTATATAAATAAAACTATTTTTGTGTGTTCTATATTGCATTAATTTCTTCAAACCATTTTAGTAACGATAATTATATAAAAACAATTATATGTGCTTCTAATAATTGGCTTCGCCGTCCGCCGGTGACCCCCGTTACACTACGAACAAACTCAGCATTGGTCACCGGTGATCCCCATGGCATTCAACGTGTTAAGAATATCACTAATTTATTTTTCACTTCTCAAGAGAAACACTTAAAACTAATATGGTTTTACTAATTTTTTTCCCTTTCCGTCTCACTTTAAGCCGTGGATTTATCACCCTTTGTGTATTTAAACTACACACTTAATATAGTTGGGAGGTAATGTTTTGAATTTAATTTTTAGTTAGATTTTATCTAGACTATACTTTATACCTTTTTCTCTTGCGTATGGCATTTAGTATACTAAAACGTGCTGTTCTGTTCTAAGCTGATACACATCGTAAAAGAAAAGATCATTTAAATTCATATTTTCTTTTTCTTTTGTATTATTCACCGAGTGAGTTCGCAGTTTTTTCATGAATATTTTGACAAATTTTTTTTTTATTTACAATTTTTGAAAAGTGATATTGATTCAAACCATCTAGAATTTTAGATGACCATGTTTTGGATTTGTGGGGTTTCATTGTAGCAATTCAGATGCATTTTAAAATAATAAATTCCATTTTACAGCATGTGATTGTGGAGAGAATTCTATTAGTTGCAAAGTCATTGATGAAAAGAAGATTTGCCTCTGCAAAGAAGGATATGTTCAGGGAATCGATGAAATTTGCATTGGTATTGAAAGAAATCCTTACCGTTTCTTAATTTTTTTATAGTTTCATATTTTTTCAGTAAATTCTGATAAATAAATTTTGATGTATAACATATTTTAAAAATATTTGTAGATTAAATTAATTTACAATAAAATGTTAAGGTAAAAATTTTGTGGTCACATGCAAGGGAATCAGATGAGCCTAATTCATGACAGTGAACTCTTATTTTATCTCTGTGTTACGTGGTCTTTTGAACTCGGTTGATTTTTTTTTCAATTGTGGAAAAAACCTCGAGTGCAAAAGGTTAAAAAATAGGATTAGGAAATTACTTTATTAATCAAGCTTTATTAATAGCATAGCAATTTTTAGTTTCTTCAAAGTTAAACACAACGTTATTTATTTCGTGAAAACTACTTTGTAATTTTTTTTTTTACTTGAAACAAATTTAATGGATTATTTTAGTATTTTCATTTTATAGAAATTTTCACTTGGAACTTCACTAATGATAATTAACTGCCTGTAGCATTAAAATCATTTTGAAAAATAATGGGAAAATTATACTTCTTAATATTTCTCGTATTTTATTGGAGTTAAGCACCCAAGATACTCTAAAATAATAATTTTTATACTTTTATAGAGACTTGCAATGAAACGCAAACATGCAAAAATGGAGGGTCTTGCCTGCAACATTTTTGTGTCTGCTTACCTGGGACGTCTGGACCTTTTTGTGAAAGCATTTACGATTGTTTGCACACTGATATGTGTAGAAAGGATGATAATACAGACTGTTCTTATGATGTGGATAGACAAAAGGCCTACTGCAGATGCAGTACAATGGAGTATAGATTTGATGCAGCTACCAAAACATGCCGAAGTGAGTCATACGCTGCATACTGTGTAGTATAAACCAATTAGTTGATATTTAAATATTTGTTTTAAGATTCCAATAGGTCAAAGCCGTGACAGTTAAATTGTATTAAAACAATCAAACGTTGAATTTTTAACACGTTTGTGATCACCTCTATGTATTGCTTTTGGAAGGAAATATATTTGTACTCCATTATATATTTAAAATATTACTTTAAATTTCACAATTTTGACACATTAGAATTATTATACAGATACAGGGGTTGGGGAAAACATGTAAACACTTAATATATTACCTTTAAGTAATAAAAATTCTTTTTCAGCTTAAGTTTGGAAAGTTTTAAGTACCTCTTCTAAAAGCTCTAAGTGAGATCTTTAAAATTATGCTAACATTTTTGAGAAGAAAAATCGTCCAAAACAATTGCTCCTAAAAGAAATTTTGTTCACATAGAAATAGTTTAGATGCGTCTTTATACTTTTGTCCAAGTCCTGTATATTTCCTTTATAAATTATTGATAGAGTTGATCACAATTTCATTGAAATGATATATGTTTACTTCTTGCATCCATTTTTTAAAAATATGTAAGACCTGGGGAACCTTATTTAAATTAAAAACTTAAATTAATCACAGCTCCCTTGAAAATCATTAAAGAAAAATATTTATATTAAAATTTAGTATAATTTTGATGTTTTAAACAGCTAATTAAAAATATATCATGAACTATTGGCTTTGCATAATAAATCCCACAAAACCTGCCTAAAAATAATTATTCCGATATTTTTAATTAATAGAATGAGTAATTTTGAATCGATTCAGCATTGAACCATCTTTTAGAAAATGAAGTAAAAGTTTTCCTTCTTCCCCAGAAGAGCCTTACTTGTTCAAGTTTGAGAGGAGCGAAAATGTCTAGTGGAGAAGAGGTGGCTCAAAAGATAAGGCTTTCACCTCCCGATGAAGTAAACCGAGTTCGAATCCCTGCAATGGCTGGTTGATACTAATTCCGCACCCAAATCCATCTGACCACAGTCTGATGTAAAATATTCTAAGTGGTTGACGGATCATGGGTTAGAATCCCCTTGCTGTCCGCTAACGTTAGGATGTTTTCGAGGTCTTCCTCTCCATGTAACGCAAGTGCGGGTTATTTCCATAAAAGAGTCCTCTACGAAGGCAAATTTTAACCAGTACTTGATCCAGGAGTTTCCCAGTCTTCTGAATTGGGTACAAAATTACAAGACTACGAAGCTGAACATTAGTGACCGTAATTTAAAAATTTAAGTCTGCTGTTCAATGACAGTTATAAAATAAAATAAAATAAAATAAAATAAAATAAAATGAAATAAAATAAAATAAAATGATTAGTGGGGCGCTTTTGCACTAGATTGTGTGACTCGTCACGTCTAATAAATCATAATCAGCTTGAGAAATATGTGTGGATGAAAATTTTGATTTTTACTATCTTGTTTACTTTAATAGGTTGTTTGTGTACATATTGGGCTTCTCAGGATTTAGGATCATTTAGCTGGTGTGATTACCAGCAAGGTCGACAAGTGTGTGTGTGCACAGTGGGCTATTCATACAACCCACACAGTGAAGAATGTAAAAGTTCGTATATGAAAATCCACTCTATATTATACCTCTATGTTAAATCTACACAATATCTTAACTACTCTGGATTAAAATTTACTTCTACATTATCATTTTTAACCATTAAGGGGATATATAGGGCCTTTGCATCTGAACAAGATATTGCTTCAGTTTTCTGTCACATATAACTGTTTACACTGTGATAACTGTTGATATAGTTCGTTCACCAGGAGTTGGCACTTGGCTCCACCTCCTCGGACGCAGAGTTAATTTCAGCACGGGGGAGAAATAGGAAAAACATTTCCCCGCTTGAAATCGAGATAACCTCTAATGCGCGCAAAGCCTCCACACGATTTTTTTATAGGTAGTCCAATCAGACTATTATGAAGGCAAACCAGTTTACAAAAGAGCCCTTCAATACAAAATCTAGTAAAAATAAAAAAGTGATAGCAAATATATGTCTAAAAATTTGTTTAATTTTTGAATATGATTAGTTTGTCTTATTTACTTGTCTACCACTACAAATTCAATTCTCAAATATATATGACAAATTCCTCTCAGTCACTTTTAAAATAGAATTTGGTTTCATGCGATCAAACTGTTCACTTTTTAAATAGTCTAAGTTTGCGCAGACTACTTATAAGAAACCGAGTGGAGGCTTTCTGATGTAGAAGGTGATGGCCAAACACAAACAGTAAATTCTTTTTCAGTCATTTTCTTCGCTTTGTCATCAGCTATTACACCTTTCGTTATTCTAGCTAATTTATATTTAAAAACTTTTCCCCAGCAAAATATCTCAAAAAGAACAAACTATTCAATAAAAAGAGAGAAATATCAACAAGTTTATGAAATAAAATGCACATGTTCAAAATATGCACATGAAGATTGCGAAATAAATATTTTTGTCATACGATCGCCAAA